TCCAATATCTTATAGGGATAGAACTTTGGATTTTTAAGGCTTTCGCAACATTGAGTATATGCTGATGTTTTCTTTCTACAATGGCATTTTGTTGTGGCGTCTCGACACATGTTTTCTGGTGTATGATTCCCTCTTTATGGAAGTATTCCTTCATCTCAAACTCCCCTCCGTTATCTGTTCTAATCACTCTCACACGTGACTGGAATTGAGTATTGATTAAGGCACAAAAACCTTGCAAAGCTGCAGTAGCATCTGATTTAGATTTCAACATATATACCCACGTGCATCTACTGAAATCATCTACTATGCAAAGGAAATATTTAGATCCATCATAGCTAGTTTGTGTGCAAGGACCCCAAAGGTCACAATGTATTAGATCAAAGATTTTCTTAGATTTATTATGGCTGACAGGATATGGTAACCTACGCATTTTAGCCATAGGACATATTGAGCAAGGTTTTCTAACAATCTCAGGGGTGCAATTAATGTTTAGCAAGTCTAATCTAGAATCAGATGGATGTCCTAGCCTCCAGTGCCAGAGATCAAAATCCTTATTTATGCTTGATACGGCTGCTGAGATAGGAGTTTTGCTTGGAGCAAGAGATAGGGCTTCTGTTAAGGCTGAGGGAGAAACTTGAGTTTGTAGGAGATGGTATAAGCCTTGCTTCACTTCATTCATTCCAATCATTTTCGAGGTCGAAAGGTCCTGCACAAAACAATTTTCAAAGAAGAATATGAGACAACACTTAGAAGTTTTTGTTAGTTTTCTGGCTGATATCAAGTTAAAAGTAAAAGATAGCATACAAAGCACATTATTCAGAGTTAAATTCTCTGTGACTTTGACAGTTCCTATGTGTGTAGCATTAACCAGATCACCATTTGGAAGGGAAATCGAAAATGACACTATGGCTGGGGGAGTACTATAAAATGAAGTGCAGCAGACCATATGGTATGTTGCACCTGTGTCGATTATCCACGGTCTGTTATGGCCTTTCTTATTTTTGACACCGTAGACTGATAAACAGGAAGTGATACCAGAAAATTTTGGAATTTGTGCATCTGCAGGGGTTATGGTAGTGAGGGATTTGTTGCTTTGTGACTGCAGTAGTGCCAGAAGCTGTGCATGCTGCTCCTGCGTAAATGATATCTGATTGGCATCATCAGTGCCTCTTTGGGTCTGCAGGGAGACCAGACTAGCATATCCTTTTTCCTTTTCATGTAATCTGTATCCAGGAGGATATCCATGTATTTTGTAGCATTTGTCCATAGAATGACCTGTCATATGGCAGTGGCTACAAGTGGCTTTGTTGGGATTGGCCTTGGTGCACCTTTCCAGCGAATGGCCAGGCATTCTACAGAAAGTGTAGTAGTATTTTCTCTGTATGGTTGAATTCTGCCTTGCTGCATTATAAGAGGTTCCTCTAGTAACAAAAACGAAGGAATCAGGAACAGGGGTGTCCATTGAGATCTGCCTCCTTTTCTCCTCTTGCTGGATTATAGAATATACTTCATTTAAAGTGGGAAATGGCTTTATCAGAAGGATTTGAGCTTTGATAGCCTTGTATGAGTCATTCAGTCCCATCAAAAACTTCATTACCCAGTCCCTCTGTTGGTTTTCAATTACAGGTTTGAAACTTCCACAAGTGCAGTTCGGGATGAACTCATAATTCATTAGTTCATCAAGGAGCGTCTTATACTTAGAAAAATAAACGCTCACCATGTCTTCATTCTGTAGTAGAGAAGCAATGGATTGCTTAACCTCATAAATTCGTGGGGCGTTTTGCTGTCCCAGTTGATGTTCCAGATCCAACCATAGCTCACGAGCTGTGTCTGCATAGAGTGTGCGTGATTTAATGTCAATAGACATGGTATTTTGCAGCCAGGCAATGACTATGTCATTGCAACGCAGCCAATGTTCCATCAAAAGGTTGCTGGTTTGTGCTGGTTCAGTAAGACTTCCATCAATAAAGCCTAACTTGTTCTTAATTCGAAGTACTCTTTTTATGGATCTTGCCCAAGGATAATAGTTGGTATTGTCAAGCAAATGCGTGACCAGTACTGCGCCTGAGTTTTCGTTTGCACCAATATAGTAGGGGCTGCTAGGATGAGTAGGATCATTGGAATGAATGTTTGGCAGTGCATTTGTGTTGAGATTTTGCTCAGTATTTGCGTTTTGGTTTGTGGCTTCCATTGTTGTGCTTTGATTATCTGTCATGGTTTTATGTCTCTGATACCATGTAAGAAGTTGAAGAAATGA